TGGGTGGATGGATGGATGGATGGATGGATGGATGGATGGATAGATGAATGGATAGACTAGACACCTATGCTTCCTGAAGTGGTCCAATCTAGAGAACTAAGCTCTAGAGTGAAGACAGTAAACTTGTTCACTTTTCTCTCTGCCTCTGGCTTATGATCAATTGGTTGAAAAATGCCAGAAACGCCTAGCTGTAAAGTTGAGAAACAGGAAATCAAAATGATTAATGTTCAATTTTTCTTCACCACCCTCCACCCCATGCAGACTTCAGAAATGTCTTCATACTTAACACTAATGACACAGGCCTAAGTAACTATGACTTGCTTATGGCTTGTAGGAAGGATTCTTTAAGAAAGCAAGAGCAAATGACAGACATTTCATAATGGAAGCTTGAATACCTTTTAAGCCTGTCTATTGTTGTTGTTGTTATGTACCATCGAGTCGGACCCAACTCATGGTGACCCCTCCTTGGGTTTCCGAGGCAGTATCACTACGGAAGTAGATTGCCCCATCTTCCATCCGAGGAGTGGCTGGTGGGTTTGAACTGCCAGCCTTCTGGTTAGCAGTCGAGTGCCTTAGGCACTATGCTCCCAGAGCTCCCAGCCTGTCTATAGGAGGTGTTTTTAACATAGGAAAATAATATATAATAGTTGATATATTAGAACTGATGCGAAGACCTTTCATTGCAGGCTCTACATAGTTAATATATATTAACACAAGCAAAGTGTCTGTTCTTTATTAAATATATTCCACAATATTCCTTGAAATTTTTAATGTCTGGTTGAGGAGAAAATATTTAGAAATGTAAGAAAGTTGTTTTAACTCTTTAAATTCATATTCTGAGATGAATAAACATTTTAAAATGAGTTTAAACTGACATGAATTCTATTGCATAAATATAAATCCAATGATAACACTCTAGAATTGAGCAAAATGTAGTTTCTTAAGTACTTGTGGACTAGGTTATGATAAAAAAAAAAAAAGTCAAATAACAAAAAAGCAGATAGATATATAAAAATGAATTCAATGACCTTTATGCCACAACAAAGGAAATTTTTTTAAAATTGATCTTTATTACTATTATTATTGATCTTTATTATTAGTAGTTGAGAGTCCATTAGTAGAAATAGAGAGGATTAACTTTTCAAGCCAATGTCATACATCTCTCAGTACCTTGACTCCGAAATTTCATGGAAATACAGTCTATACACCAAATTCTCTTTTGTCAGTGTTCTTAATTCCTTGTAATCCAGGTTTTCCTCTCACGACTCTTCTGGAATTTCATTTTGTCAGGTCTTCATTGTCTCACTAATCAATTCATTCAATAGTCTCTTTTAGGAGACTCAGAGTATGTCCTTGAATTTCCCTCTTCTGTTGGCCTTGACACTCTCTTTACAGGCTGTCCTGGAACCTTCCAAACCCTCCTACTTGATTTCATTTTCTAGATTCTCTTCTCTCTCTAAGAAAACACATTTCATAACAGTTAATATTCATAATTTAACACCTTACTCTCTTTTTCCTTGCTTTACAAACTTTTCCTTGGGAACCACATACAATAACATAAATCCAAACAATATTGTTTGAATCTTTTACATTCTAAACTCCTGGTAAATGTATCTATTGCCAATTTTCTTAACCATGGTCTGCATAAATTATCCTATAATATGCTTTCCAAGAAGTAAAAGAGAAATGACCTTTATGCCACTCAAAATTGTTTTAAGATTGCTCGATTGATCTATACTTTAGCATTAACCCATGTATCTCAAAACTATGAACTTTGCTATGGGAATTAAAATCTAATTATCTGTGTTGCATTTCCTCTGATGTGCCATGTATAGAAAATTGAGCCACGTGTTACAATTTTTAAAAGAGTTTGACATCTAGCTACTGAAAAGGATACAAATCAGACACAAACTTAAAATTTTACAACAAATTTAAATAAGAAGTTTGAAATATAAATGCAATTTGATGCTATTGATGTTCTCATTCAAAGTTTAATATGGTCATTGAAAAGAATACTAAAGTTTATAAATATATTCTAGTGGCAATAAATTAAGCAAGAACTACATTGAGAGACTTTATGAGTGTAACAGATACGTATCAGTAGTTCATAAATTCACCTTTGTTTTGTTGTATAACATAAATTTGAGTCAAAGTCATATTGTGAGAACTTATAGTTTTGTGGTAGAAAAGGACACTGTGTAAGAATGGTTAAAGAACAAAAATTCGCTATGAATTTTGAGATCATGCTGGTTCATTCTAATGAGTTCTATTAAGATGAGAAATAATAGTTTTTCTGTAGTGATCAAGACAAACTGTAAGAGATTAAATCCAATGACCGGGAAAAGAGGAATCAGTGTGCCTCTCTGAAGCTTGCCTGCAGCTAAATTACTTTGTGTTAAACTGAATTTGCTAGCGAAAGCAATTATTTTTCTATAATATTTTCCTTCAGAGGGCAACTGTAAATAATACATGCCACAACCCAACCGCCAAAGAAAAAAAAAAAAAACATGTAAAATGTTTTATTATCAATAAAGTGCTGTAACTGTGAAGGTAACTGAACATGTAGTGAATCAACAACCTAAAAAAAAAGGTGGAATGCTTTATTATCAATACAATTGGAGGCACTCTCTGTAACTGTACCATGAATTCCATGAGCTGAGGAAAATCTAAAAATGTGTTTTTGCATTTCACTTTGCCTACTAAAGTGAACTGGGAATATTTCTAATCATATGATGCACTTGCCATACATAACCGAATGTAATGGGAGACTTTCACCATTGTCCTTGCTCAGGGAGATCTTGAAGTGGTTACTTTCAGTCCCAACCATGAAACACTTCAGGGGTTTCCATTTCATACCAATATTCCCCATATTTTCAGAGTTCCAACTTCAATTTCAGGCTCTTATGTGTGTCCTGGACTGCTAACATAAGGACCACTTCAAGAAATGTGAGAATTCACAGGTGTGTGTCATTTAAGCTGCAAAATCAATGGAGGACTTTGGGATTGACTCTCGGCGAAGGCCACCTATGGTGCACTTTACAACATACTACCTGGCACTGATGACGCAGAGCTTTCTCAGAGTGTAGGCTGGGAAATGAGCAATGATAATTCTGCTCCTGGGTCCATAACTTCCCTATACTTAGTTCCATTTCCTGCAGGTCCATAGGCCCCTAGTCCTCTCTACATTATCCATCTCGTCCTTCCTGCTCCATACAGCAGTTGTAAACTTTACTTAATTTTGGAGTTGAGGGTCAGATTGCTCATCTAATCTTTTTGATCTAGTGTGACAAAAACATTATGATCTTCATCCACATGACTGGTACTCCAAAATTACTAAAGGGCTTTTCTTGAAGACTAGAAACCATGCCTTTCAAGGCTGTTGTCTCTGCCAGGAGCTCTGAAAGCATATTTTGGTATGGAAAAGTCAGATGTTGCATTCTTTGTTCTTTTGGTTAGCTATAGTGACCTTTTCTGGCATTAGAAGGAAGGGCCTAGCTTACTTGCCTGGGGAAGGACTTCACAGTACAAGAACTTTTAAGGGGCTGAGAGAACACATCAGGTAATGGGAGAGTATAGTATCAGGGGTAAAATTACAGACTGCATAAAAGCAAATCCTGGCTCCACCTCCAATTATCTGTGCTTCTTTAGGCAAGTTAATTTACCACTCTGTGCCTAACTTTCTTTTTCCGCCTTATATGTATTCATTTCCTAAAGATGCTGTCACAAATTACCAAAAATTTGGTGACTTAACAGAAATTTACTCTCTCATAGCTCCAAGGGCTAAAGTCCAAAATCCATTTTACTGGGGTGAAATCAAGATGTTGACAAGTCTGTGCCCCATGTGGAGGCTCTAGGTAGGATGTTTGCCTTACCTCTTCCAGCTTCTAGTGTCTGCCAGCATTTTTTGCTTTGTGACCACATCACTCTGATCTCTACTTCTTTGGTTATATTGCCTTTTCTTCTGTCTCACATATCCCTCTACCTCTCTCTTATAAGGATACAAATGATTGCATGTATATGCCCACTCATATAATCCAGCATAATCTCCCTTCTCAAGATCCTTAATCACATCTGCACAATTCTTTTTTACCTTATAAAATAAAATTTACAGGTTCCAAGGATTAGGGCATGGATATTTTGGGGGACCATTATTCACCTTCTCACATCATCTGTAAGAGGGGGTGCCCATGTGAACATTAAAGGATATACACGAACTCCTCACTTACTGACAGGGTTAGATTCCAAAGTACACGTTGTTATGAGAAAATCAATGTTACGCAAAAATGCAGGATGACCACATCAGATCACAAAATGGAAGATAATTAATCATTGCATAACTGCCAAATTACATCATTACTTAACTACCAGACTATATCATTACATGACTGCCAAATCATTGAGAATCATGAACCAAGAAACATAATGTCAAGCATCATGTCCAGTGTTACTTTTGCTTTGCAACTCAGCGTTCATTACTGCCAGGGGTACATGATTAATGCATAAAACAGTTTAATAGTAGATTTTTTACTATTATTGTAAATGCAAAATGTCAGATACAATACAGATAATGTACATGCAAAATGTCAGATAAGTGAGAAGTAAGTGTAATATATGAAAAACACTTAGAATGATGTCTATCCTGTATACAGCATTCAATAAATATTACCTCATAATGGTGATATAGATGATGATGATGCAGCAATAAGAAAATGCAGAAAATAAGTTTCAAAATGAAAAAAAAAAAAAACTTTTTTAAACAAGAATATGTGGAAGATCTCATCTCTGGATCTTTGATGTGTGCTAACTTTAAGATATTATTATTATTTAAAGTATTGTGCCTTCAAGTTGAGTAATTATTACTCAAAGGTATGGGTATATGAGTCATTTGAAATTGATGTTATTTCAAAATTTTATTTATCTTGAACTTTTCCAATGCTCTAAGTTAAAGATGCTATGTAATATAATAGTCTCATTTGGCTCTTGTCTCCCTGCCCACCTAGGACACAGATCTAATGACATTTAACATCTCCGTTCACCGGTCATGGTGGAGGGAACATGGGCCTGGCTGTGTTCGAAGAGTGCTGCCCCCATCAGCTCACGGGATGATGGATGACTACACGTATGTCTCTGTCACAGGTTGCATGGTCGACTTTCAGTACTTGGAGGTCATCCACAGTGCCGTCCAAATACTACTCTCAGTAAGTGTCATTCTTGTGTCATTGTCTGACCAGGCCTCTCCTTAACCAATATTTTATATCTAATCCTTCCATCTACACTCAGTGCTAAGTGATGTAGTAAACATGCAGAGAAGACTCTACATTATAGAACTTGCAGCAATTATGGTATCATTAGTTATGTTTAATAGCAGGTTACTTCTTTTCCTCATGACATCCAAATACTTTGTTTTCAGAACCAAGTCCAAACCAGTTAATGGGATAGTGTCACCATCTCCTTGGAAGTGGTGTATTAACTACCTCAGACTCTCCTGCAAATGCACTTCTTCTACTTCTACTACTAACACAATCTTCTGCTAATGCACATTTGACCCAGGGAAAAAAGGATGGAGTCATACCCAGTGGCTTGTTCAAATGGACAGTGGCTTGCTTAATCTAATAAACCTCACATTTCAAGTATTATTCCTTTAAAAACAAATCCCTCCAGAAAGTCTTAGCCATTTCAGTGCCTAAAAACTTGGTGTTAGGATACAGTCTCCTACGGAAAAACAGAGAAGGGAAATATGGCTTGATTGAACCACAGAAGGTTTGTATACCAGCAGTTTCTTCATATTAATTTCTTTCAACCAGGCTGTCCTACCCACAATTGACTAAAGTTTTAAATAATATTTACTAAGATGTATAACATCATCAAAGATGCCGTTCATTTGTGAAACAATAAAAACACGGCATTTTGTTTGAGTCAATATACAAAAAGCCATTCTCAACCATAGTATTCACACAAATTAACCAACTCAGATCATCTGCTCAACCGGTTAGAGTTAGAGTCAGAATAAAAAGATATAATTTTATATAATAATTTATTATAAATATATAATGTTTATAATAAACAAATAAATTATATAAAAAGGTTTTTTCCAATGATGAAAGTACCTTAGAATTATTCTAGAAAGAACTTCCAGAAATCTTTACTATCACTTACTATATAGGTAGTCCCTGACTTACAACATGGTTTTGTTCCAACAACTCTCCATCATAAGTTGGTCCTCATATAAGTTGAACAACTCTTATTGTTATTATTATTATTGCCTCTATTATTGCCCTTTATTATCAGTATCTTTATAAATCTGATCTTTCGTCATCTTTGGGATTTGGGAACAATACATATAAACTTACAGATATATTTTAATATGCATATGCATTCATAAAATAGAACACAAATCATAAAAATTTGTTCCACTGATGAAGAATTGGGCAGTGTTGACATTTTGTCGTTTGTGGTAAGAACTCCAATCGTGGAAGGCTCTGGATCATCTGGATTATCCCTGGGAAGGAGAGTGGCATTTCTAGTCAGAAAACTAGTGAGAGTGGTTGTCTGTATGATCCTTTACTTTTTTCTCATATATTTCTCAGTAACATCTCACTGTTTCCTGAATCTATTGTAGTAAAACTGTTAGCATTTGGGTCTCAGTTTTCAAGCAGCTGAAGCCTCTGATTTAGTTTAGGAAAAAAAGAAAAAAAAA